GTGGGGTCAGCGCTGCTTATGGGGCTGCCTGTGTTATGGGGTCAGCGCTGCTTATGGGGTCAGCGCTGCTTATGGGGTCAGCGCTGCACATGGGGTCAGCGATGCACATGGGGTCAGCGCTGCTTATGGGGTCAGCGCTGCTTATGGGGTCAGCGATGCTTTGATGGGGGGTCAGCAATGCTTATGGGGCTGCCTGTGTTATGGGGTCAGCGCTGCTTATGGGGTCAGCGATGCACATGGGGTCAGCGCTGCTTTTATGGGGTCAGCACTGCTTGTGGGGTCAGCGCTGCTTATGGGGTCAGCGCTGCTTTTATGGGGTCAGCGCTGCTCGTGGGTCCAGCGCTGCTTATGGGGTCAGCAATGCTTATGGGGCTGCCTGTGTTATGGGGTCAGCGATGCACATGGGGTCAGCGCTGCTTATGGGGTCAGCAATGCTCATGGGGTCAGCAATGCTTATGGGGCTGCCAGTGTTATGGGGTTAGAGCTGCTTATGGGGTCGGCGCTGCTTATGGGGCTGCCTGTGTTATGGGGTCAGTGGTGCTCATGGGGTCACCAGTGCTTATGGGGCTGCTGGCGCTTACAGGGCTGCCAGCGCTTATGGGGTCAGCGATGCTTATAGGGCTGCCTGTGCTTAAGGGGTCAGTGATGCTTATGGGGCTGCCACCACTTATAGGGTCAGCGGTGCTTATGGGGCTGCTGGCGTTTATGGGGTCAGCGATGCTTATAGGGCTGCCGACGCTTATGGGGTCGGTGGTGCTTATGGGGCTGCTGGCGTTTATGGGGTCGGTGGTACTTATGGGGCTGCTGGCATTTATGGGATCAGCGATGCTTATGGGGCTGTCTGTGCTTATGGGGTCAGCGATGCTTATGGGGCCAGCCACACTTAAGGAGCTGTCTGAACTTATGGGGCTGCCTGTACTTATAGGACTGCCCCTGCTTATGGGGCCGGCCACTCTTATGGGGCCAGCTGTTCTTATGGGACCAGCGATGCTTATGGGGCTGCCTGCACTTATGGGGCCAGTGATGCTTATGGGGCTGCCTGCACTTGTGGGGCCAGTGATGCTTATGGGGCTGCATGTGCTTATGGGGCTGGCCACCCTTATGGGGCTACCTGGGCTATGGGGCCAGCCACTCTTATGGGGCCAGCTGTTCTTATGGGACCAGCTCTGCTTATGGGGCTGCCTGTGCTTATGGGGTCGGCGATGCTTATGGGGCTGTCTGCGCTTATGGGGCTGGCCAACCTTATGGGGCTACCTGGGCTATGGGGCTGGCCACTCTTATGGGGCCAGCTGTTCTTATGGGACCAGCTCTGCTTATGGGGCTGCCTGTGCTTATGGGGTTGGCAATGTTTATGGGGCTGCTGGCATTTATGGGGCTGCCTGTGCTTATGGGGTCAGTGATACTTATGGGGCTGCCTGCACTTGTGGGGCCAGTGATGCTTATGGGGCTGCATGTGCTTATGGGGCTGGCCACCCTTATGGGGCTACCTGGGCTATGGGGCCAGCCACTCTTATGGGGCCAGCTGTTCTTATGGGACCAGCTCTGCTTATGGGGCTGCCTGCGTTTATGGGGTCGGCGATGCTTATGGGGCTGCTGGCACTTATGGGGTCAGCGATGCTTATGGGGCCAGCCACACTTAAGGAGCTGTCTGAACTTATGGGGCTGCCTGTACTTATAGGACTGCCCCTGTTTATGGGGCTGGCCACCCCTATGGGGCCAGCTGTTCTTTTGGGACCAGCGATGCTTATGGGGCTGCCTGTGCTTATGGGGTCAGTGATGCTTATGGGGCTGCTGGCATTTATGGGGCTGCCTGTGTTATGGGGTCAGCAATGCTTATGGGGCTGCCTGCACTTATGGGGTCAGCGATGCTTATGGGGCTGCCTGTGCTTACGGGGCTGGTCACCCTTATGGGGCTGCCTGCGGCTATGGGGCCAGCCACACTTATGGGGCTGCCTGCACTTATAGGACTGCCCGTGCCCTGCTTTTATGGGGCCAGCTGTTCTTATGGGGCCAGCTGTTCTTATGGGACCAGCTCTGCTTATGGGGCTGCCTGCACTTATGGGGCCGGCAGGACGGGGTGCCGCTGGGGACCCCAAAAGCCTCTCCTGGGTTCCGGCGCTCCGTCCCCACTGCTGTGCTGTGGGGTGGTGCCCCATATGGGGCGTTGGGGCCGTGTAGGGTGACGCCCCCTCCCCTATTTGGGGTTTTCCCCCCGGGCTGGGGGTGAGGGCTCCCCCCACAACAGTGCGGCCCCATCTTTATTTGGGGGGGGGGGTGACCTTATAGGATGACCCCAATCCCGACCCCTCACCGCCCCATAGCGCCGGAACGGCCCCCGACCCTAAAACAAAGAGCCCGCGGCTGCACGAGGCTTTGGGGCCGCCCCCGGGGGGGGAGGAGCCCTATAGGGCGGGGGGGGCGGGGATGTCCCGGATCGCGGCGAGGGGCGATCGGAGCGGAAAGGTGGGAG